GTCTGGCTGAGCAGCTTGTGTTTTCTGTGAATTAGGATCTTCTGGATGACTTGAAATCAGAACTGACTGGAAAATTTGAGAAATTAATTGTGGCCCTGATGAAGCCCTCCCATCTCTATGATGCCTATGAGCTGAAGCATGCTCTTAAGGTAAAGGCACACAGGAAAGGAACGCTTGTGTCCCACATAATGCCATTTTCTTTGGGTAATTACTGCATCTTAAATTGTTCTATTTTAAAAAATTGTATCTGACTTATTTCAGTAAGGGCTACTTCTAAGACGCAACTGTAGAAGTCAATGAGAAAGAAGGGAGAGAAATCATAGATATCATTTAATAGTTTTTATATACTTCAACTCACTAACACTAGCTATTTAAGTTCTTAATCTTTTAGAGCTTTTCGTATTTTATTTTTGTGCCTGTCTTCAATTTTGAAACAAGTTTAAAAATGTTAGAAATGAAGTTTTTTAAAACTCTTTTAAGTTGAAAGCTATCTGATTAGTTGACAACAAAGTAACTGGTAAATGTTATCATTTTACTTGTAGCAAAAACTAAACATGTATTTCCTCAAATAGTCTTTGGGTTGTTGTCTACCTAAGGTTGCACTGAAACATTTACTGGAGCTGGGGGCTAAGAAATGGTTCAGGGGTTAGGAGCTGGATTTTAAGAGGGAAATTGAGATTAAGCACATAGTTTAGGGAGTCTTAGGGGGTAGAAGAAGAAAAATATTTATTCAGTTAGGAGGCTGTTTATGCAGATTCTCTTCATTTTCCTACAGTGATTCTTTTGGAATAAACAAAAGAGTAAAGGACTGGGGAGATAGCTCAGTGGCACACGTGTCTGCCTGGCAAGTACAAGGTCCGGAGTCTGATATTTTGCTGTTGTAAAAAAAAAAACAAAACAAAAAAAACCCAAAAAACCAAAAATCTCCCAAAGAGTAGGTTATTGAGGAAAGGGCTTTCTTACTGAATGTTTTAGGACTGTCAACAGTAGCTGAAATTCTGCCAGAGGATGAACCTAGGTTTTTAGTGTTTAATATTTTTTGATGAAGAAACAGAAATAGGAGCCAGGGAGATAGCTTAGTGGTCTAAGTGCCTGCCTGGCAAGCACAAGGGCCTGAGTTCAATCCCCAGCACTGCATGCTGTGCTGGTCCTGGAACCCCTGGGCATGTGGTGCTGGCCACCAAAACCAGGCCTGATAGCGCATACCTGTAATCCCAGTGCTGAGGAGGCTGAGAGAGGAGGATCACTGAGTCTCAACTGCAGAGTGAGTCACTGTACTAGATAAAATAAATAAATAAATAAATAAAT